CTAAAACAAATTCCCTCCTGTCCCCCTATTTTAAAAAAAGCACACAAACTTAGAATTCCAATGTGCTTAGGTTTATGCTTACTGAGTTGACATTTGAAAATATTCCCAGAGAGACCTGGGCTGGTGAGGCCACAAATGGAATCCCTTGCCTTTGTGATTTATAAATTAAGCCAGAGCAAGGATAGAACCTCAAGTTCTGTTATTGTCAAAAGCTAATTGGAAAACTCTATTGTATGGTATTTACTAGGATAGTTATAACCAACCATTCTCTTAAATTAGTCATGCTTGAATTTTGAGTCCTCTAGGGCAATGAGAACCAATTTAGGTTTTGCCCTGTTTACTTTATTATCATTTTCTTACATTATAAATTCCCTAATGTGAGGGACAGATATCCCTGGTGGCTTAATGACGATGTGCTTGGCTTCTAACTAGAAGGGCAGTGGTTCAGACACAGCGGCCACTCCCTGGGAGAAGGACTCAGCAGGGTTCCCCTGGGTGACAGCCTTGGAAGCTTTGTGGGCAGCTGTTCTGTCTTATGGAGGCACCATGCGTTGGAGTTGACTTGGCAGCAATGGACTGACTATACGAATTAAGATAGAATGAAAACAGGCCATCTTAGAATTTAAATAGTAACGGTCACTTTGAGTATAATAAGACCAATTGCTGTCAAGTTGAACGTGACTCCTAGAGAGCCTCGGTGTGTCAGAGTAGACCTGTGCTCTAGAGGACTGTCAGTGGCCGGGGCAATAGATGGGTAGGCCTTCCTCTGGTGCATCTAGATGTAGTTGATCCTTCAGCCTTTTGATTACCAGCTGAGAGTTTTTAACTGTTTGTACAACCTATCAAGTCCTTTAGATGTAATAGCTCATCTGAAAAACAGAAGCCATACTTTGAACACCCAACTCTAATTTATGTTTAAAATATGAATGAAAGTTGGTTTAATATACTAGCTATTACATATAAAGAGAACAAAAGTCCTTATAACTGGATCAATGGACAACATCATGATAAATGGAAAAAAGATGGAAGCTGTCAAGATTTTAATTTTTTTTGGGGGGGGTGGCTTATAATCAATGCTCATGGAACAGCAGCAGTCAAGAAATCAAATGGTGTATTACACTGGGCAAATCTGCTGCACAAGACCTCTTGAAACAGTTAAAGAGCAGAGAACTTCTTTTGGGGACTTAGCTACACCTGACCCAAGCCATGCTGTTTCCCATAGCCTCGTGTGGGTGTGAAAGCTGGGCAATGACTAAGGCAGGCCACAGACGAATCTGTGATGATGCTGCTGAAGAAAATGAATCTATCTGGGAAGAAGCACAGCCACCGGAATGCACCTTCGATGTGAGGAGGGTAAGACTTCATCTTGGGTATCTGGAAATATTAGCAGGAGAGACCAGGCCTGGAAGGAGGTGTCATGCTGGGTAAAGAAGGGGGTCAGTGGAAAAGAGGGAGACCCTCAAGAGGATGGACAGATGTAGGAGCTGCGAAAATGAGCTCAAACCTAACAATTGTGAGGATGGTGCAGCCTGGGACATATTTGGTTCAGTTACACAGAGGGTCGCTGTGAGTTGGGGCCAACTTGATGGTCCTTAGAAACAACCACAAGGACAACAACTGTCTTTGAGAGCTCACTGTGGGCCGGGGACTCTGTAGTGACATTAGACACTAATATTTATTTTACTTGTAAACCAAATACTGATTAAATGTATGACAGATGATTTTCTTGCCATAAATTAGAAAGTGTTTCCAAATTAGTTTATCAAAATTAAGAGATGAATGTAATAATGCAATCCCAAACTCACTGATGCTTGGATAAAATTTTGTTTTGATTTGAGTGACACTTTGAGGCTACCATGTACTTGCCAGCTGTGGCCCGTTAGTGCTCTAATATCACTGGTTATTCAATCCACCCCAGGGCCAAGCCCATGGCTATGGAGCTGTCCTCACCTGGAGACATTGTGAGAAATAAGAGGAGGAGGAAAACCCAAGGAAGACGGAGCTACACCATTTGGTGCTTTGGAGTTGGGCATATGTGAGTCTGAATCCCAACACTTCCTAAACATGTGTCTCTGGACAAATGGTTCAATCTTGCCTTGCCTAGGTTTCTTCATTTCTAACTCATGGATGCTATCTCCCACACACATGAATTGTAAGGAACAACGTGGGTAATGGACATATAAGGTACTTACAGAGGATTGACTGTATGTTTTAAGGGCAGAAAGAGCTAGAGAACGATTAGAAAGAGGGTCTACTGGAGGCACACACAGCCCTTTAAAAGGAGACGTTATCATCTTTACCCATAAGATGCACATCGCATTTCCTGCAGCCAGCCTATTCCAGAAACACAAGTGGAAGGATTCTCTTTCCCTTACAGCATTCATAAGGAGCCCTGGTAGCACTGTAGTTAAGCACTGGTCTGTGAACCACATGATACTATATAAAACCACAGGGAATGTTTATATGCCACCATGAATTACATGTTGCTTCTTTAAGTTAGAAAAAAGATATATTCCCAGGGGCAACGACTACATTGTAGCTAATCCCTGGACCCCACTCTCAGTAGCTGCACAACCAGGGAAGTGGCCCGGCATGTGGCTATCCCATGAATGCTTCACCCACTGCCATCAAGCTGATTCCATCTCATAGTGACCCTCTATAGGGTTTCCGAGGCAGTACATCTCTATCGGAGCAGACAGCCTCATCTTTCTCTCAAGAAGTGGTAATAGATTCAAACCGTCAACCTTGTGGACTCCAAGGGTCACACGAAATAAAACAACACACTCAAGCACACGGCCATCGAGTGGGTTCCGGGTCACAGCAACCCTAAGGGACAGGGCAGAACTGCCTCTGTGGGTTTTCAGGACTGTATCTCTTCATGGGGGTAGAAAGCCTGGTCGTTCTCCTGTAGAACAACTGGTAGTTTCAAACTGCTGACCTTTTGGTTAGCAGTCCGACATGTAACCAGCAGGGCTCCCAGGAAAGCGGCAGGAGGCGCTCGCAAATTCACTACCGCCCAGCAGGAGCACCTTCGGGTGCCTGGTAAGTTAGGAATTCACCAGTCCTGTAGAAAATCCGTGTCTTTGGGGGGTTATTTTTATCAATTAGACCAATGATATGGATTGTTCTGAGCTTTCAATTGGGGGAGACAGAAACTTGATCTTTTCTGCCATGTCTTGTATGGGTAAATGCAGAAACACTGTACTGTCACAGTCCCTAGTGAGATGGCCGGATCGGTAGGGCTGTTGTTGCTGCTGTACCGCACGGAGTAGAAACGAACTCGTGGTACAGTGGGTCACTTCCTAGGGGTTTGCCGACAGGCCCACAGCTGGGACCCAGCAGCTGCCTCCCAGGGGGTGCACGGGAGAAGATGTGGCAAGCTGCA